CTAACCCCTCTCCCCCAAATACACACACACAAGCAAAAAGAATATTATTTCATTGACAATATTCAAATCTGAAACATGCGATATCATGACCATTTGTTTATTTATTTTTTTATTGTGTATTGTATTTTTGGCCAAATTTGGAGACAAGGATTACTATCATGGTTTTTAAAAATGAACCGGTGACCGAATTGGTCAGGGGTTCAGTTATTGGTTTGAACGGTCTGACTGTTCAACCTGAATGGCCAGTCCGTTCTGACAAAAGAATAAAAAAATTTTAAAATTTGGAAAACGGTCAAAACCGTTTGAATGGTTAATCGGCCGGTTCAGCGATTTGCTGATCAAAATCAATGGTTTTGGAGGAAAACGAAACCGGTCAAGTGACCGGTTCCCAGTTTTTCTGGTCTGACCATCCGGTCCGGTCCGGTTTTAAAAACAATGATTACTATCAAACAACAAAATCAAACCTTTATTGGGCCACAACAATTACATCTATGGCCATGATTCTCAATTTTAATCCTGTGCAAATATCTTATAGATTTTATTTACCAAAAATTAAAAGAAAATAAAATAAATTAATTAAAACCAATTGAACCAGGCTTCAAATCGGGCAAGGAATGGAAATATAACTTTTATTATGTTGTTACCAAATTTGAAATTGGGAGGAGGAAGTAGGAGAAATATTAAAATATTAAAGCAATAACGGAGACATTAGGCAATTGCAGGAAATTAAACTTGCAAGTTTTAAAGGTTTAATATTGCAAGAATCACAATCAGGTATATATATAAAAGAAAGTAGTGATTGGCGAACCATCTCAACCTCGATCAACATCGCTTCAACGTAAGGGAAAAAAAAGGAGTATTTCATTGAAATCCATTCTACAAATTTTTACTTTATTACACTCACAAAAATATAAAGGGATGAGTGGGCTGTAATTTACCTCAAAAATATGAAATTGTATTCCTTTCCTAGTCTACTAGTAGCCCTCTAATAAATCGCATCATGTCCATGGATTTGGCATCAATTCATAATCAGGATTCAGTCTATCCCTAGAAATCTTAGCTCCACCCTAGGGATGGACTGAACGGTTAAAACCCTTAATATAAAACTTTCAGACACTCACTTATTATATCATATCCTCTCTTATAGGGGTGTAAATGGATCGGATTGGAATCGAATCAGGAAATATCTGAATTCAAATCCGATTAGAAAATTCGATTTAATATATGACAGATATTAAAAATTAATATTTGAATTCAAATTCAATTAAATATTCGGATATTCGATTCAATTCAAATTCAACTAATTAATTATCTTAAGTGATTAATAAATATATAAAATAAATATCTTACGTATATTATTTAATTATCATATATATAAATTATATAAAATATTTAAATATTAAATATATTATATATAAGATAGTCGATCGAATTCAGATATTTATCAAATCCAATAAGATCATATACAAATTCGAATCCGATTAACTATTCGATATGATTAAAATATCCGAATTTAACCGATTAGATATTTGAATTATCTGAATTCAATTCAATTATGTCGAATCTCAAATTTAAATTTTAGAATACCATTGACACCCCTATTCTCTCATATCATTAATTACCCAGCTATGATAAGTAAAAATTATGGAATCAGAGGATAAATTAACAATCTCCAAAAAGAAAAGCGTTTGAAGATCTTATTTTAAGATCGATATAGACGATGGGCGTGTGGTAGAAAATCCCAAATTTCCAAGGAGACACACAGAGACAGAGGAACAACTACCGTTGACAAATGGTGAGTGATGCACATGCCTAATCTATAATCACATACTATTCCTGGTACCATATCACATTAACACTCAAAAGAGTGTTGTTTGTTTATTTGCTTGTTCCTTGGATCCTTGACTCTTAGTGTTAGTTAATTGGTTTAGTTGGCGTGACTACTAATGCCACAATTAATGGGGTTAATTAATACCTCAATTTGACTACACTGGACTTACTTGGCCTCCACCCTGATTAGCCCGAGAAGTACAGCGGCTTTTAGTTAGCTGTCCATATTTGTGGGGCCTACACAAACGGCTTATAAGCTATTTTTATTTTTGATGAAAACATTTGGAGAGCCAAATTAGTTGTTGATCAACCAGTTGAATACCTGGTTAAATAGTTTATCCAGAGCACCTTGTCAATATTATATGGCCACTTTTTTTTTTTTTTTTTTTTWCTTTGTGAAGCAGCTAAGCCAATTGTCAATAGCTTATGTTTTCATTTTTTTGTTTGGCTGGAGGAAGATTTAATGGTTGAAAGATTCTATTCTAAAAAAATGTGAAAAGTCTGTTTTGGGCTATTTTCAGAAAACTCCAAATGAAGATTATTTTTTCACTTTATTCGTCTTGTTTTTATGTAAAAAGGCATGCTTTTAACTAAATGGTCTATAAGTTGTCAAGATCTTTATGTAAAAGCCTGTTATGTCTTTTGATCGTCAAACAACACCCAAGTCTAAAACATATCTTTAGCTCACCCTCCAAACCAGGCCCTTAAGACAACAAACACAGCTTAACTCTGCCATGTATTATCACACGCAGCTGGTTCGGTTGGTATAGTTAAGTTCAAATGTTATTTTATATCTCGGCTTATATGATCTGACCTGGTTGTTTTCTAATTTTTATCCCCAAAATGCCCCTAATTGTTAGTTTGCTCCTATTTTTATTATAAGGGCAAAAATGTAAGAATGTATTTGGTTTGTATTAATGTTACAACACACCTTTATACAAGTAAGTACTAATCATAAATAATATATGGTATTTGGATTTAATTTTTATAAATTGCACTGGTATCGAGACAAAAAGCTGATTTATATAATATAAATAATATGAAAAGAGCATTTTTTTATATTTTGATAATCTATCCTTATTGTATGGTTGGGGCAAAGCCTTAATTAACTTGTCTCATTGAAGGAAACCGTCATTTCTTTATCAAGAAATCTCTAGTAGTTGCATTTTCATTTAGACTCAGTTTGGAAAGAGTACAAATGCAAATATGTACAGCATAAATACAACTCAGGATTTTCTACTCACTTTTCCTACCCATCATGAATTGGAGCCACACATCTTTATTATGAATTAAGAGATTTGTGGCTCTAATTCAGGACAGATAGAAAGTGGGTAGGAAAAGTTTGTAGAAAATCTGGGCTCTATAAATACATACAAAATAATACAAAATATAAGGTTTTGCACTCTACATATTTGCATTTGTACTCCTTCTAAACTCAGCCTTAGGCTCTTCATTAAACACACTGTTTGCAACTAGTTGCTTATTAAATAGGTTGCATGACCTATTGACCTCTCAAATTTCTATTTTATAGTGTTTCAAGTGGTATTATACTATAACTATTAAAACAAAAGCAGTATTATACTACTAAAACTATTTGGTCCATTGGCCAAGTGGTTGATAATGGTCAAATGTGAATCTTCTACTAATTTTGAAGAGGATGATGGTTTAATGCTTTGCTGATTGGTTTCTTTATAAATAAATAATAGGGAATGGCAAAATTATATTTTTCTACCTAATGTTTTCAAAATTAGACCAGAAAAACTAGGAACCGATCACTTGAATGGTTTCATTTCACCCCAAAATCGCTTTTTGGCCAAAAAAACGTTGATTTAATCAGCAAACCTTTGATTCAGGCAGTCAAATCGTTGATATGAACACCAGTTTTTGGCCTTTTTTGTTTTTATTATTTTTTGCCTGAACGGGCCATCTATTTAGACCAGACAATTGGACCATTTAAAATATATTAATGTAAAATTTACCATATGAGAAAAAATAGAAACTGGTTTTAGCTTAGATAACGTCTCAAATTGAATTTGATTCTTGATGGATTATTGTGAAACAAGACAAATAAATTGTTGCTTTCTAATTTTCATATTATTATCCTTCATTTTATTTTATTTTTGAAATTATCACATCTTTTCATTAATAATATAAAAAACTAAAAATACCTTAAATAAATAATGCACACGATAACCATAAAAAAGAAGAAACAGGACCTAATCAAAACAAAATTACAAAAAGCAGAGAGCATGTACATTAAGAAGAAATATGGGCTCTAAAATGAATGCCCCTCTACATATTGAATCGAGTCATATATAAGTAGATCCAAATTTGATTCATTTATGTTCAAATTTGAATTGAATTGTATCCATAACATATATTATGGATTTAGATCGGATTATAATCAGATGTTAATTTATTAAAAATGATCAAAATGTTATATATAATAAATTAAAAATAACCTTAATAATATTATATTTTTATGAATAAAATGAATTGAAATTTACTTGTATGAAACTTAAACATATAACAATTTAATTGTTATATAATGAAAATACAAATTTTAAGATGAATTCATATAAATCAGATCAAGTGGGATTATATCGGATAAGAAGATAGAGATGGATTCATATTTGATCCAATTATAAACAGATCGAAGTCGGACAATTGGATACCGTTTTGTAGGACTTGGACCCATTACCAGTTTACAACCCAACAATTCAAAGGTGGAAAATGCCAACTGATGAATAAGACAGGAGGGTTAACGGGCTTTTTCATGGTCCGTCAATTTCCCACGTTTGATCCGAACCCACCAACTCATCACCATCGCTTTTCCATTGGATTACAGATGGATCCATCCCAATCGTCTGATCTCATTTCGTTAGAATATAATTGCTTCCCGATCAAGAACACTAGCTGGAACCCATTATGAAGAGGTCGGCCGTTGCATGCGTCCCACGTGTGTCCTTTGATTGATGCTGAATCCTGATCATCCATCCACTCACCCTCCTTCTTCTCTTAAGGGCATTTCCGTTATTAAGAAAATTTCCAGCCGGTAACCGAAAAGAGAAAAAAAAAAAAAAGAGAGAGGATATGAATGTCATTATATCAAAGACGTCATTCTCCCCGCGTTTTTTCCTCTCGCTCTCTTTCTCCCCTTCTATTTTTACTACCAAATCAAATTGAAAAAGAGTTCTCTCTCTTCTTGGCTTCTTGCTACAGCTGTGAAGCTTATAGATAGTTAAGCTCTTCCTTAGGGTTTTCTACTCTGATAAATTTTCTTTTATCTGGTTGTTGAAGACTTACTTGTCCATTCAGCAGAAGAGCATTTGCTCGAAGACTCGGGGGAGTTTTGATTTGTGTTCTGATTCCGAAATTCGTCTTCTATGCAAATGATTTCAGAGGCGAAACCATCTTTTCTTTCCAGCTTCGATTCATAGGTCGCGTAGGAGAGAAATGCCATGCTGAAAGGTTAGGGTTTCTAGAATTCATTGATTTTTTTTTAGTCATTGTGCATTTTCTGTAATGGTTCTATGTGCTTTTCGCTATTCGGGCATCGTTGTTGTAGTGGAATGTAGATTATGGGTAGAGACATTTCGACTGTATAGTTTTATTGGGAGTATAATGGCGAAATCGTGTGAAAGGCCTTATCGGATCGGTGCATTTGGATTGAATAGGGGTTCGATACGGACGGTGCATTTTGGATGCACTAGGGCTTTGATACGAAGTTCTTAGGAATGTCGAGACGTAGATAAACATGAGCCGGACGGAAATTTCGAGAATGAGGCCTCCCCTGGTTCCTCTTGCAACTCTTATCGGTCGCGAGCTCAGGAACAGTGACAAGACTGAGAAACCTAGTATTAGATATGGGCAGGCTGCTTTGGCGAAGAAAGGGGAGGACTATTTTCTAATAAAGCCCGATTGCCAGAGGATTCCGGGAAATCCGGCGTCGTCCTTTTCTGTCTTTGCGGTACTCTCTTCGTAATTCCTTTTTTTTGCCATTATGGAATTTCGTTTAGTTTGTGATTGTCCTAAACGTATCCGTATGGAAGAAATTAACTCAGGGCTCGTTGGCAGATTTTTGATGGGCACAACGGCATATCGGCAGCTATATTTGCTAAGGAGAATCTATTGAATCATGTCATGAGTGCGATTCCTCAGGGCATTTCTAGGGAAGAGTGGCTTCAAGCTCTCCCACGGGCATTGGTTGCAGGTTTCGTCAAGACTGACATAGAATTTCAGCGGAAAGGCAAGCATCGCTTTCCTTCTTTTTATGCGATATTGTCATTTTCTTTTATACATTTAGCGCTTTTGTGATTAATATGTTGGTATCGTTTGATAACAGGAGAAACATCAGGGACAACAGTCACCTTTGTTGTAATTGATGGGTGGACTGTGACAGTTGCTTCTGTCGGAGATTCTCGATGCATATTGGATACGCAGGGAGGTGTAGTTTCTCTTTTGACAGTTGATCACAGGCTAGAAGAGAACGCAGAAGAGAGGGAACGTGTCACCAAAAGTGGGGGTGAGGTGGGAAGGCTTAATGTTTATGGCGGAACTGAGGTGAACAGAAAGTGAAAACTCTAACATGTTTACTCACAATTTTCATGGTTGGAAGATTTATTAGTATAATATATCTGTTCTACGTCCCTAGGAGTATTATAACTTATTATACCATTGATAGGTGGGCCCTCTCCGGTGCTGGCCTGGTGGTTTATGCCTTTCAAGATCCATTGGTGACACGGATGTTGGAGAGTTCATCGTCCCTATACCGCATGTTAAGCAAGTGAAGGTGAGCTCTTTGGGTAAAGCATAGTGATCTTTTTATTTTCCCCCTCAAATGGTTTGTTCCAATAATTGGTGTCAAATTCTTAATTTTGGAATCTATCTTTTGGTGGTTTAGCTTTCAAATGCTGGGGGAAGATTAATAATTGCTTCTGATGGAATCTGGGATGCCTTGTCATCTGAAATGGCTGCTAAATCTTGCCGGGGATTACCTGCAGAGCTTGCTGCAAAGCTGGTTGTAAAGGTGATGCCAATTCCTTTCCCATTCTCCATTCTTGATTTGTGGTTCAAATATTTGTTCTTTTGTTCTATTTTTCATGACATGTATTTGCTTGTTCATTCAGGAAGCCCTGAGGTCAAGGGGTCTGAAAGATGATACAACCTGCCTTGTGGTCGACATCATTCCACCTGAACATTCTGTGTTGCCATCAACCCCAAGGAAGAAACAAAATGTGATCAGTTCATTTATTTTTGGAAAGAGATCTCAGAACTCGATCAATAAATTGACAAACAAGCTTTCCTCGGTTGGAGTTGTTGAGGAGCTGTTTGAAGAAGGTTCTGCAATGCTTTCTGAAAGGTATGCCCTTTTCTTTTGATGTTCAATTTTCATCAAATGGTAATTAGATTAATTTTGTTGATGGTAAGTCTGCACAAAGTATCATTTATTTTGGATATCCTGTAATTATCTTATACTTTATGTGCTAAATTTCATATTTAATGTATCACAGAAAAGAAGGCATTTCTTTTACTGTATCATGAGACATGAATACTGTTTCCCTTCTTGAGTATGAACAACATTCTTCTAGAGGGTTTAATCATCACTAATAGAATGTCTAACTGTGTTTGTACTCCTTGCTTCTGCACATTGCTTTAAGGGAGGTCTTTGCTTTTCTTTATGTTGTTATTATATTCTACTGGAAGTTTTTTTTTTTTTTTTTGCATATAAGTTTTCATCTTTGTAAATTTGCTGGAGAGCTCATGAATCATGACCTTTACAATCGGAAAAGTTATCAGATGTCTTTCATTGAATTTATAGGGGGGAGAGTGGACCATATCAGCTCTTATTCTAACAATTATATGACCATTTTTATTTTACTTACTTATTTTCTTCTAGTTTTTGGGGGATGCTACATAGGATCTGGGTCTATCATCAAGCATTATTAGTCATGTTCATTGTGATAAGGGTATTTTGGTCTTTCTGATAAGAAAGTTGAAACATTTATCAAAATTTGGTTCTCCACCTTGACTACCCTAGTAGGCTCCATATACAGTGAAAATATAGGTTTCCTCTGAAGTATCCTTATTGATTTTGCTTCAAAATGTGGTGCTTTTGCCAATTTGCTGATACAATTTATGGGGAGGTTCTAGCATCAACAGAAAGTATCGAACAGTTTCTCTTCTATTTACATCTTTTGAGGGGAGGGCAGAGGAAAAAGTGAAACTCTCATTGTGGTCTATAGCCTAGCAAAGCATGTTTTTAGATTGTTAATCTTTGCATCATTTAAGTTGGTCTTTGCAATGGAGTTAGATCAGTGTAGTTAAAGCAATCTAGGTGTTGAGTTTGTTGACTAGGTGTTTATGGATGCATCTCACCTAGGAGATAACTAGGCAGGCAGTATTGAAATACACATTTTATTGGGGGCAAATAGGTATTTTTGCTTCTTTTTATATATTGATACGAGCCTGTGATTCTGTAGTTGATTTTTGTGTTGATATGTGTGTATGCAGACCTTAAGTTGGGGATCCAAACCCTTGTTTATGTTTGCATTACTTTGTACTAGGGAATTCAAAATCTTTCTTTTTCTCCAGAAATAGATATGCCATACTTGTCATTTAATCATTTGGTGATTAAGTTTCTAGTATAATAGTTTACAGGTCACATATTGATAACCCAGTAGCTGAGATGGTCACTCAGCATCCCTCCGAGTATGGAGGTGCAGGATTAAACCCTTGTTACTTTAGGCTCTCCGTGGAAAGGTCAGTGGACCTCATGTATACCCTGTTCTGTCCCCAGTCACCACCCTTAATCCCCTGTAATGTGTAATATGTAATACCCCCTAAAAAGAAAAGGTTTACAGGGAACATATAATTACATAATGTCTATATGTAAGTTTTTATAGATTATACATTATATGTAGTACATTCTTTTTGTTGTCTAGCATCTACCTGATTTTCCAGGCCAAAATGTCCAAGTGGTGCCTGGCCACCATAAATTCGGTTGGTTAGATGTACTTTCCATTGAACTGTTTTGTTGTTATGTGGTTGATCCATTGTACTTGAGCAGCAATTTTATGAGGTCTGGGAGCTAGGAATTGCAAGAATTTGAAAACAAGGACCAGAATGTCTAGAGGCTGCTAGAACTTATCATGGTTAGGATTTCTTGTTTGGCACTGTATAGTTATAGTGAGGAATTCAAAGTAATCTCTATGGTTGATCTACAAAGTGGCTGGCTGACTGGTAAGTAGCTGAGTAGGGAAAAATAAAATTAAAGTTTGATGGTTTCTACTTGTGCAACCCAGGTACTTTGTTCATAGGGGGAGCAATTAAAGAAATGGCAATAGATAAATTATTCTAAGCTTTTGGTGACAGGTTGGTTTTGGTTCCTTGAAAGTGGAGCTATTGGCTTTAAGGGCCTCAAATTTGCTGCATCAACATGCTAGACAGGAATACAAGTGGAGGGAGTATCCATCAAAAATAGAAGTGGAGGGAAAATGCTAAGTTGTATAAATTGCTTGAAATTGAGGGAAGATGTCCCTTCTCTGGGAATTTTTGTAAGGTATGCTGGAGCTTTAGAGGGTGTTTTGCACGTCTTTTCCGTTGATCTTTTGGTCTGTGAAACTGAAAAGATAAAAAATGGTCTTTTAGCGTTTGGTTTCTTGTAGCTGAGAAGACCTAGAGATGAGCATGTCGTAAGATCAAATTAGCCAAAAATCAGGAAAGCTTCAAATGAAGCTTTTGGTCTTTCTGTGCTTTAAATAGCCTTCAATATGTTTTTAACAGCCCAGTGAACCAAGATGCCTACCAAACAGTCTTGGTCTTTGAAGACAAGATCCCAAAAGCTCAGTGTCTTCTGGTCTGCTGGGCTGTTGAAAAATCTACTTAGAAAGACTTGCCAAACAACACCTTAGTGAACAACTTGAATTTCTCAATCAGGTCAGTTCCTAGACCAGAAAATGGATTGGCAGATGCCCTATCAGGAGCAGGAGTTATGAGAGGAAACTTATGTTAGGATAACTGGGGATGGTGATTCAATGTAAAAAGTAGTGGTTAAAGAAGCTAAGTGGAATGCTTGGCTCTCTGCTGAATTCTTTGTATAATATCATCTGTCCTGCCTGGTTCTCTTTTTCATTAATAAATAAACGGCTTACTGTTTCTTTTAGAAAACCAAGGTCGATCTGCTACCACTTAGCCAGATTCCTTTCCTACAGAAATTTATCTTCAGTGTCTCAACTGAAAAACCCACATAACTGGGTTTCTTTTGGTTCCTCCTTGAACATGTGGTTTAGGTGATTTTATAGTATTTGGGTGGAGATTTGAGTTTTGATGCTAATGTTATAAATCTGTCTTTACTAACATCTCAAAAATGAGAATCATGTTGAATAGTCTTGTAAGTCTCTGGTCTATGATGTCTGTGAGGTTGGCTGTAGAATTATGAATTTGCAACATTATATTGCCAACTGAGAGTGTGTTAGGGTAAATTAGAAAACCTATTTTAATTTTTTTCCTTCACAGGTAAAGGTAAAAAATTTGTATTAATGGAGTATGAAGTGGTATAAAGCACTTACATGCATAAGATTTGAGAGAACGTACAAATATATCATTCAAGAAACAATATATGATAGTTGTTGCTTTTGATATTGTATGAAGACTATAGTTTATCTATAACTTAAAATTTCAAGGGAATTCATTCAAAGATGCTGGATGGCTATTTGGTAAGGGATTCTGTACCCTAGAGCTGTGATAAAAATCCCATTTTCACTGTTGACAGTTGAAGTGGTTGCTTATCAAGTGATTCTGTTGTTTCTGGACTCGCTATTTTGATTTTGTTTTTTGAAATGAAATTGTATTACATCAAAAAATTACTTGTATCTTGTATTTGTCATTGGTTAAAAGTGTACTGAATTAGTGATCATTGTCATAACTTAAAAGTGATAGAGATACAAACTCAAAAGCAGTGGATTTTGTCATGCAAATTGAAAATTATTTGAGGGGCATGTATCATACCTTCGTAGACAAATTTACAGAGCTGTTTATGACTTGAATCTCCACTTGTTTTGATCCATGTACACAACATGCCAGTCAATTAGATTCACACTTTAAAATCTTGATCAGGTAAGCATGAGAACCAGGTTGGAATCGGAGAGTGGCCTCTTCATGCAAGAAAACGCTGATGGTTAGGTCTGTCCATTACCCAGTCCCACCATCCAAGACCTCTTTTTGACCTTTTCGTTACGGAAGTCAAGAAAAGAACCTGAATTATTATGTGCAGCGATAACTTCCTAAAAGGAGCTTGCTACTTAATGGAGCAGTACCAGGGTCCCAGCCTATTCAATTAGGCCTAAATGACACATTAACATTGTATGATGTCATCCTTTATCCTTTATGCTCTCATATTGGATCCTTATTGACATTCAAAATCTATAAAATATAACAAATGTTTAGAGTTGGTGATTCATCGATTTGATTAGCTTTGTTTCTGTTAGAATTATTTTACTCTAATCACGTTTCTTTATATATTTACTTGGATATATGGTTTGTGTGTGTTTGTCTGTACTAGTACTAGATATTGATGCTTATAGCAATGGCGAGAGTGTGCCTGTATCTTCCCTCTTCCTGTTTGACTCACTGTGTGATTCATTCTCTGAAAGGGTTGGGAAATATATTATTGTTGATGTGGAATTGCCAACCTCACCGCCCCTCGTGGAATTGCAGGTTGGGTAAGGATTTCCCCCAGAAGACCAACTCTGGACAATTCAGATGTGCAATCTGCCAAGTTGATGAACCACCAACCGATGGTTCAGAAGTGCAATCTGCCAAATGTGCAAACTCGGGGTCTTTCTACTCACCCACATCAAAACCATGGGAAGGTCCCTTCCTTTGCACGAGTTGTAGGACTAAGATGGATGCCATGGAAGGAAAACGGCCGAGCCAACCAAAGTGACAACATAGCAATATTCCCACTAATCATTATACCATTACTTACATATGCACTTGCTATCTGGCAGTCTGGTCGTGTTTCTGAGAAAAGTATAGGAATTGTTCACTATAGAGCTGATCACTCAAGAGTCAAGAATGGAGGGTCGGTCGGGGTGTCATTCCTGGTGAAGATTTACGTGTAAGAAGGAAAGATAGAAAGATTGAATGGGTCCTATAGAAGTGAATTGTTGATTTGGGTTTATGATGGGAGGACTAACCAGTAACCACGGAAACAGCCATGCTTATCTCATAAATACATATTGGTGATTGTTTGGTTTCTAACATCTTGAATTTGTAAGTAACATTTGTGATGACAATTATCATTTTCTTAGTACAGGTGTTGTTATGTCAGTTTGTCTTTTTCTCAACTGGAGGGTTCGCTTGCCAGATTTGATGGTTGAAATTACTCGTCCTTAGCCTTCTACAGTGCGATTCTCATCATTCACCATGTGAGTACCAGAGGGAAAGGTTGCTTTTCTTGGCGATGCCACTTTATTTCTCTTTTTTATTATCCCCATGCACTGCTAGTCTGCTAGTGCCATATTATGTGTCTTTTGAAAAACGAAAGTTAAAGAAAAATATGAATTTGTTACTGTGGAAATGATGGATGAAATATTTGTTATGGATGGACTCGTGCACAACGAAAAAGTTTTAAAAACTGACCCGAAAACAGAACCGTTTTAGCTACTGGTTTTTGGGTCAGCGGTTTGATCATTTGTTCAGACGGTTTATATTAGAAAAGGCCAAATGGTATACGAGTCATGAGAAAGAGAGAAAGGAGGACTGGAGGAGTGGAGAAGAGTATTTTGTCGGCTGAGAAAGAAAGGAGAAAGGAAAGAAAGAGGGAAGGAGGGAAGAAGAAGGAAGAGGAGAATGATTCGACGCTCACCGGCGACGGCGATGGCAACAGCGATGATGAGATGGCGATGGTGACGGTGGTAATACAGTGCAGATGATAGATCTCATACAAGTTCTCAGATCTCAGATTTGAGATTGATTTTTCATTTTTTCTCAGATCTAGATCTGAGATTTGCAATTTTTTCTTCTTCTTCTTGGATATCAGATCTGAGTTTGTGTTTCAGATCTGCAATTTCTCAAATCGTGAACTGCTGCTCGGGTCAAATGAATCGACGGTTAGACCACCTGGATATCAGATCTGAGTTTGTGTTTCAGATCTGCAATTTCTCAAATCGTGAATTGCTGCTCGGGTCAAACGAATCGATGGTTGGACTGCCTGGGTCAGTGGTTTTCTGACTAAGTCAATAGTTTTTGATCCAAGAGCGGGTCAGGGGTGAAATGGAATCAATTGCTTGAACAGTTTTTGGGCCGAATGGTCCGACCATCCGGGTCAACGGCGGTTCAAAAACATTGACGAAAACCATGCAAAGCAAGTTTTTGTAAATAATCATAAAAATGCAGTCATTGCCAAACACCCCCTTTTGGTAAAAAAACTTTTTTTTTTTTTTCTTTTTTTAATGAACATTCTGGGACGGGAGTACTATACTCTAAAAAAGTAATAGTAGGTCAATAGGGCAATGGCTGACAAAGTGGATGTTGACATATCCATGGATAGTCAAATTCTGTAGGGCGAATCACGTGGTTACACTGGCATCGTTTCGGATTTATTTATTTTAGATGAAATATGATAAAGAGACCTTGTATAATTAATTGTCTTTGGGACTGTGAGGATGTGAATCGTCATCCAATCAAATAGCAGTTGTTAAATAAAGAAAGGGCTTTGTTTATTTGGGAACAAATTTTCTAGTGAGCTTTCGGAAATGGCACATGAATCTTGCACATGTGCAGCCAAGTTATATCATGGTTCTGAAAAATTGAGAAAGGTGCTATAATTGAGAAAACGTTTTAATGTATTTTTTAACAATACAACAAAGAAGAGGCTATCCTATTCCTAGGTCATTTTGTAAATAATATGACTTCATGAGTATTGATTGTGCCATTCATAAGTTAATGTACTTTTATTATTTATTTTATGTTTAATAGTGTGGTTATTATCGAGCAAAAAAAATTATGTCTGGAAGTTTCATTGGAACATGAGACACATCATGTAATTGTCAAGTCATCTTTACATCAACAAACCATGATAAACCAGGGTTAAGATACAATGTAGGGGATGTTTGTTTAAGTGTTTTTTATTTTTTTGAAAAACTGGTAAAAAACACCCATGCTTTGTAAATTGTATTTTTCTCGATGCATGAAACATCAAGTTTGACGTTTGCTACATCAGTGAGCTATTGCTCCCAATGACAATATGATGTAGCGCTGATATGTACCAAATAGATTACACATACAATAAAAACAGTGATGAAAATCAGCTTATCAAACAACATAAATGTGAAAAACGTTGCTTTATTGCCTACCTAAAAACAAAAACAATACCAAACAAATTAACATGCACCATCTTGGCGTGGGCTTTTTTTTTTTTTGGAAAATCAAGCCCCAAAAACGTCCATGTTACCAACCACCACCATAGTTATTATAAGGAGGTTTTGTTAATTTTGGAACAATGTTGTTATTAACTTATTATTGGTTCTAGGATCAGAATAATGTAGTTAGGAAAGCAAACAGATTGGATATATTTGAATTGGGGCATATCTGAATCCGATCAAATAGAAAATCCATATGATCCGATTTCAATCAGATGTTTGAAATGGATCATATTTTGTGATCTGATCCAATTCAAAACGCAACATGGGGATTCAAATCTGTTTAAAGCGGATCGAATTCAAATTTAGATCCAATCTTATTCTGATTCATTTGCATCCCTAAATGTAGCTGAATGCATAAGTTTGGGCTTTGGGTTGGGAAGTCCAAGCCGAACTGAAATTTTGCACAGTTTGGGCTTTGATTTTTAAGCTTTGGGTTGGGTTTAGGCTTGAAAACTTGGGCTGGGCTTGGGTTAAGGCCTCAGATGGTCCAAATCTGACCTAAGCCTAATCCAATCCAATCTCAACCTATTTGACCTATGCTGTATTCTTTCCATGTATATTATATATTAACTTTGTGTACTCTTTAGATTGTACATATTTAGAATATTTATATGTCTAATTTGGGTCCATGCTCATTTACAAGTAGACATGTTCATGGGCTGGGCTTGGGCTTTGGCCCAAAGCCCAATGGATGAGCATATACAAAAATACATATTATGTATTGATGCTATTCGAGCTAAGGCAGGCAGAAGCAAATAAGAGGTCTTTCTGAGCTGGATGAGGCCGAGCTTTGTGACGAACTGTGTTGGATGAGCTGTGATGGACAAAGTGAGCAAAATGGGGTGATGAAAATCGACGACCTGTCCCTGAGGTGGTTTCACAGGGAGGAGGAATCTAATGCTCAAGTCAATAAGGCAGAGAGATAAGTCAGGTGAAGCTGTTTGGGACGAATTGGTCTTAGCTGAGTAGGGTTGAAGAGTAAAACAGAGGGTAAGAGAGCTAGAATGCTAAGATTTATGTTTGCTACGTTGGCTCTAAGGTGGAATTGGGCTTGTGTCAGAATCTCTTGCCACGTTGGCTCTAAGGTGGTAGGCCAACCAGACTGGGGTAGGACCCTATCATGTATATTACATATAATGTATCGGTTTGTAGAGTATATTTATAATATATGAATATCTTTTTTATATATAAAATAAAAATATGGGCAATTTTATTAAATTACCCTTAATGTTTTACGTGTTTAATGGATTCCTTACTGTTACCTTAAATGTTAACATCCGTTAATATTCCGTGAAAACTTACACATGTGATATGTATATTTTTTTAAAACTCAATTTTACCCTCGCCCTCTTCTTCCTTTCAACAACGGCAAATCGAACTAGCTCGATCCTTAACCGGCGGCGTAGCCCCTCCACCTTCTCTTTCTCGCCTTCTTCCCCTTCATTTTCTCTCCCTGTCTCCCCTGTTTCATCACCGCCCTGCAACGACAGATCCCTCTCTCCCCTGTTTCTCCTAGCTCAGGGCACAAGTTGTCGGAGTTATGACAATCGAAGGACTATCGGAAGCCTGACGAACTCCTGAAGACGTGTTTCTCCAACAGGTCGGAATCACCATTTGCTTCGTTATTCATTTTTCATTATCGATGATCTACTTTTGGGGATTCGATTTATAGCCTTCCCTTCCCTGTTTTATTAAGCTTTCTGCTACTGTTTCTCTCTCGTTCTCGCCGATTGCCTGCGTCCACCGCTGCCAGTTTCTTCCACTGTCAATCATCTGCGCTGCCAGTCAAGGAGCACATATCCACAATAAAACCTCTGCTGGAGTAAATTGATTGTTCGATGATCAGGAAATTTGGGTTGAAATTGGAGAAAGCGATAGTGATAGGGACATAATGCTTCTGCAACTGGAACAAGAAAGCCTTGATGTCTACAGGAGGAAGGCAAATAAAGCTAACAATTGTTCTTTTGTGGTGAACATTGTTGCAGTAAATAGAATAAGAGGAGAAAAGGAAGAAAGTTCCGGTTTATAGGGTTTCGTTCTTTTCTTTATTCGGTTGTTTCTGTCATGGCTGCCTTGGAAATGGCAGGCATTCCTTCAATTTCAGAGACGAGGTGGCTCTCTCTCTCTCTTCCCTTTTGTCTGTTATAGTATTTCACCACCGTCACGGAAATCACCGTAGCTGCCGCCACCACCACCATGGGTTGGGTATTGTAGGAGGGAGGGCAGCTCTATCATGAAACAAAGGTGTATGTCTGGTTATGTTCATCTACTTCCCATCTATCTTGACCAGGAAGAGAGGGGGTGGCTATTGCGGAAGCCCGACTTTCCGAAATGTCTCTTTTTGGTTTTGTTCATTCACCGCGGTATGAAATCATGAAGAAGCTGGACTGCGATGTTGAGAGCGTTTAGTCTTTGTAGAGGAACTGTACATGCTGCAGAGGGATCCGGAGCTTCAAATTTGATTTAAGGCAAAAACGGACATTTCAGCCCTTCCATTATTATTTTAATGGTAATGATAATTTTTCAAAACAGTAGAGATAGTTTAAAAAAATTGCCCTAAAAATATTAATGTTTCTATTAAACTTTACGAATCCAACCCAAGCCCAATTTAAATTGTGTTGTGTTGACCTTGGACATGAACCAATCCACCCAAGTTGTACATATAGAAATTAAAAAATATTATACATATCATATTATATAAAATATAATTAATTTTAGATTCCTTAAGGGATTTTGTTGTGTTTTTGAAAAATTTTGGGATTTTGTTGGGTGATATTCTGATCGAGGATTTTAGATTCCTTAAGGCCATGTTTGGTTGCAATATGATGCAAAACCATGGAAGTGCAAATGATTTCAATATAAATTATGATTTGTTTTTATTTTAAAATTATTGAAGTAACGTTAGAGTTGAAGAAGAATTAAATAAAACCCAAAACAAAATTAAACCAGAATTAGAATTATTTTCATTTTATCTCCTAAGCATTTGTACTAGTGCAAACAAAATTGCACTGTAACCAAATAAAGCCTAAGACTCAATTTGGGAATAGTGCAAATAGAAAGATACAAAATACAAATACATAGAAAATAATATAAATTAGAAGGTTTTGAACTCTACATATTTGTATTTCTTCCAAACTGAGCTTTAGGCCGCATTTTGTAAGATATAAAAAGCGAATGCATATTTATTCTAATGGCTCAATTTGGAAAGAGTATAAATACAAATATGTAGAGTGCAAAACTTTATATTTTATATTATTTTTTATGTATTTACACTGTACATAGGGGCGGAGCAAGGGGTGGTGGAGGGGAGCCAAAATTCCCACAAAACCCATTTAAATTCTACTTATATTTTAACCCCCTTATCCATGTTTCTTAGCTTTTGACCCCCTATTCATGTTTTGTAAGTTTTGACCCCCCTAACAAAAAAATTGTAATTCTGCCACTGTACATATTTGTATGCCCATTGTACGGAACACTGCGTATTCATTCACTCGTGTTGATGACGTAATCTGATACACACGCTTATGTTCGCAGACAAAACAGATCCCGACGCTTGTATTAAATACAACGTTCTCATGATTCTGCGATTCTCCCAACTCCCAAGTCCCAACATGAGTTGAGTTGATATCCAGCTTCAAAAGGAGAACTCGCTCGTTTTCGTATATACAAATCACGACAACAACCAGCTAGGTACTGGAGTGTGGAAATCTGGAACCTTCTCCCGCTTCAACTCTTAACGACTCCCAAAGGGCAGGCCACAATTAATCTTAACTGACGCCCAGCAATCTGGTTTCTTTCTTTGTCGAGTTTCTTTCCGCCATTACCACTTCTCATCTTAATTATCAGGAATCAGGATCACCAGTCGTCGTCGTTATGTATCGTCACCATCACCATCGTATATAAGAAAACAATATCATCAACCAAATACCGTTCCTCGTCCTCTCCTTCTCTACCGCCGGTGAAAAATGTCAGCTCGGCAGGTAGAATCCGATGATGCTGGCTGTTCGTCTTACTACTCAGTCCTCGGCATATGTAGCAATGCCTCCGCTACTGAAATTCGCACTGCTTATCGGAAGCTCGCTTTGGTTAGTGATCTTTTCATTTGTTTTATTTACCCTGTAGGTCTCTGCACCATAATTTAGTGCCTGATTTCTTCATTTTTTATTTATTTTTATGCTTTTATCCCCATTGAAATTCTTCTGATGGTGATGGTGGTGGTGATAGAAATGGCATCCAGATAAGTGGATGAGAAATCCCAAGGTCGCTGGAGAAGCCCAATACCGTTTCCAGAAAATCCAAGAAGCTTATTCTGGTAATACAACCAAAGAATACTTAATTTGGACACAGGTTGATTTCTGATCTTCTCGGCTTCAATTTCAAGGGCATATTTTCTGCAGTTTTGTCAGATAAAGGGAAGAGGTCAATGTACGACGCTGAATTGGTTCATCTCTTCCAAGATGAAGACGATGTCAGTATTTTTTTTTAATCCCTTCCCTTGCATTTTGTCAATTTTGCTTGTTTGCAGAACTTCTGAATTCTTTGAAACAGGGATTTTCGGATTTTATGCAAGAATTACTGTCGATGGTGGAGAAAGCAAGGCCCCAGGTACTTATTTTGTAAAACCCTTTTGATTTATTTAATCTGGTTTTATTTCTAACAAAGAAGAAACTCGACTGATGATCTTAATTTTGAGGGAATTAAATAGGGTGAAAGTTTGGAGGAGCTTCAAAAGATGTTGGTAGAAATGGCGAGAGAAGAAGGTATTACGTACGGGATCGACGGTGAAGCTGATCGCCATGCCCATGATAGGAAAAGGACACGTGTCTCACGTTCATAACTCTTCCAATACTTTTTTATTTTTGGAAAACAAATAATTATCAATAGCATGTAGTTTTTGCAGGTTCATTTCTGTGTCATCATTTTGTTTGTTGATTCAAAGGTTTTGAATCCTGATTCCTGAATGAATGGAAATTAATCTGTTTTTTTTTTTTTATTTGGTCTTCTCTCACCTCTGTGTCTCTCGCATAATTAATGGAATTATGTATGCACTAAAATAAGAAATGCCCATTCCAAATGCAGCTTAACATTCAATAAGATGGTTAATTATGTATGCACTAAAATATATAGGAAAATTTTCAATGCAAGCCACTTATTCTACAACCAAACAGGCTCGTCTTTTGAAACTTTGGAAGAACAACCATTAAGTTGAATTTTGGAACAAGATGGGCAAGGCAACCATGGGGATGCAAATGACTCGAGAAGTTCAGGACAAAGTACAGAATGTTTGAAATATTGGGCCACTAGGCCCTGATGCACAGGCCCCGGTAAAGGAAGGGCGTTCTGCAGCCTGCATGTGCCTGGTCCGGTTCTGACAGGAAAACTTGAGCTCGAGTTCAAAGAAAACAGGCTCACTATGGGCCTTTCTCGGAGTTTCCATTCACTAGTTATTCATGCCTAAGGTTACGTTTGTTTTCGGTGGAAAATACACAGTTAATGAGTTTAAAATTTTAGTGGATTGTTAGGAGCATTTTTGATGTGATAATCGATGTTATCGATCTATTATTTACATCAATTATCGATAGAAAAGTCAATCAATGGGAAGGTTTACATCGATTTCCAATATACACCTTACACTAAAAACAACCGCATGAAAATATGGATCAGTTGTGAAATTTTACATCAATCCGTATTTACACGTGCAAAACAAACACAGCCTAAAACATCATTTTACAAAATATCAACTAGTTGTTATTACAAAATATTCCAGATTATTTCTCAAATACAGCAATATCACTAAATTATAGGGAGGGATTATTGCAGAGCAGTGTAAACCATATCAACCAACTACACTCTATAAAAAGCGAAACAGATCAGTTGTGTATTTGCACTGTACATATTTGTATTTGCACTCTTTTCAAACTAAGCCTAAAAGAGTATTTGAATTTGATACAGTGGTGTTGTGTTATCATTGCATTTTAGGTTGATAAATATAAATTATGAATACTATTGTTACATTATATATGACTAGTAAACATATACGTGCATTTGCATCTGACAGTATCTCCAAAACAAAACTATTTATAATTCATGGACGATTTTTGAACAGTTATCATAAGTGGACAGTTTCTTAACTGTTATAAGTGTATAGTTTTTGAACAGTTATAAGTAAGCAGTTTATTAACTCTTATAAGTGGGCAGTTTTTGGAGTGAGAATAAAAGACATATATACTCTTTTTTATGCTCGTTGTATATTACTTAGATAAGGGGTAAAAATGTCTAATAAAAAGTCTAGAAAATGAGGTTATTCACTCTTTTATTAATAATATAGATTATCATTTCAATTAAAAAAATACATGTATAAATATCAAATTTGATATTTTTAAATAAAAGTATCAATTTATATTTATCAACTCAAAACATTTCAGTGAGAAAATTCTTTTCCACAAATTTATATTGATCAAGACAAGACCCAATGACAATACAACACAAATGCACCAAACACCCCTTAATTTTATGTTGTTTTGTTAGCATGTTGGATACAACAATAATATGACTGATTTCATAATCTTCTAATTACGAGTGCGGCCCACCAAACCCGGATGGCCCATCTACCTATAATATAATTAAGAAATCAGAGTCATGATCATGACAACTTTTCTAGAAGAATTCCTACTTTCAAAAATCACAATAAAGAAAACTGTACATAATTTGTTCCATTGCATGTGACCTCTTCTATCTTCTAGTTCCTTAAGGCATTCGATTTATTCGGTTAAAAACTTAACCGAATTAATCGAAATTTTAAAACTTGAAATAAAAAAATGAAAAATGAAATCGAAACTGAATTACAAGAAAACTGAAATAACTAAAATTAAAAATTTTGGTTAAAAACAGAATTTAATTAATATATAAAATATTATATATTATAACTTATAATGTATATTATAATATATATTATGAAATTAAATTTCATTATAATACATTATATATAATATATTAATATATAAATATATAGCATATTATATATTAAATGTTATATATTATATAATGAATTTTAGTTAATTCGGTTTTTTAGTTAACCGAATTTATAACTCTGAAAAATCAAAATTCTTAAAAACCGAATTAACCGAATCGAATTACCCAAAAACCAAAACAACCAAAACCGAAATTTTCAGTTCGGTATTTCAGTTTTAACCGAATAATACTCACCCCTAGTTGCAGTGCAAATTTACTTGCACTAGTACAAATGCATGGGAGTGTAAATGTATAAAATGCAAATTCTTGTTTAATTTTGTTTTGGATTTTATTTTATTCTGCTTCATGTTTTAATTTACTTCATGTACTGCAATCAAACAGAATAAGATAACACTTGAAACAAAAAATAGATCAGAATTTGCACTCAAATCATTTGCACTACCATGGTTTTGCATCAGTGCAAATTTATTTGCATTGAAACCAAACACAACCTGAGAGACAAGAAATATGGCTCTTCCCATTATTTGCATCAGTGCAAATTTATTTGGGAAAATCGTAATGATAGGGTTTTTAACAAAAGAAATGTGGTTCCTCCCATTATTATTGAGAGTGTGCGAAATTCCTGGAATGAGATCCAAATTAGTGAGAAAAGGAAAGTGATTGATTAGAGGAGAAGAGAAATTATTCCTATTAATTGGTCAAGTCCTAGATTTGAGGTCATTAAATTCAACTTTGATGCCTCTTGTATTAATGGGAACTGTTCGATAGCTTGTATAGCTAGAGACCATATAGGCCGAATATTGGACTTGAAGGCTTATAAATTAGGCATTTCTACTGTCAATGTGGCATATACAAAATTAATTTTATTTATGTAATTAGGGGTGAACACAAATAGAGTATTTTATAAGTTATTTAAGTTCTATTTGTGAAAAGCTTTATTCTCTTCAGTTTAATCAAGCTTCAAGTTTGAGTCTAGTATATAAGTTTGTTTGCTAATCGAGTTAAGTTCAAGTCAAGTTTGAGCCCAAACTCAAGCCTTGTGTTTTTTTTTTTTGCCAAGCCAAGCTTAAATAGCTAGATTTTCTGCTCGGTTCCACCTCTACTTGTCATGGATGTTCTTTATATCAACTCTACGTCGGCTTCTTTTTTAATTTTTATTTTTTTTGGGTCCAAGATTTCATCTACAGAAAAAAAAAAACATTCTAGAGTAATATAGTGTGTAATGTGTACCACTAAAAGTTTTTATAGATCAATCACAGGAATCAATACAGTAAATCATTCACTATATAGATGATTGATCTTGGACCCAGAACTTACTCTGAGCCCCCCTCCCCTCATTTGTTTGTTGATAAGTTACTTACTTAGGTAAAATGCTTTTACTCGGGTATGTGTTACTTGGGAAAGTGTTTTTCAAGTACATTCACCCATGTTCTTTTATTAAAAAAAAATTGTTAGTTGAATAGATGAGATAATTTTCTAAAAAACCCATAACTTTCATGTGTTGACAAGCGATTTTAGCGCCCCATAGTTTAGCCAATTTTCGCCCTTATGGACAATTGACTTATCCACTTGGGAGATAGGAAGACTTTCCCAAATAAGTTGTGCAACTTACCGTAAAACCTACACTTTCTGAAAAGTGAATACAGAAAAGCTGGTCAGCTTTCTTATTGAACTACGCATAAGGTTCACACTTCACACCCAACACACACTATGCTTCCATCTCAATCTATAAATACGTCTTCTTCAAATGCTCTTCATCTCCACCACCCGAATATTCACCCAATCTATTTAGATTGTTTAAAGCCCATTCTTCTCCTTCTTAATTCTCTAGTTCATTTTCTTTGCAAGGAAACATGGTCTGGCCCAACCCAAACCCATGTCGCAAGTCTTTTAGAACACTTATTAGTAAAGTTAGGTTAGGTTCGAGTTAGACTCTAAGCTGGGCTTAGGCTTAGACCAAAAAATTCAGCTTGACCTAAACTCCAATTGGGCTTGGTTGAGACCTGAATAGCTCAAGCCTGATCCAATCCAACTACATCATGTTTGGGTTAAGGTTCAAGCCCACTGAAATTTTAACAAATTTCGATCCTAACTTAACCCTCAACCCAGTTCAATCTACCCAATTTAGGCATTTTCTTTGCAGACCCTTATGCTGTGTTTGGTTTGAAGGAAAAAAAAAATAGAGAAAGGAAGGAAAAGGTAGAGAAACCTTTACAAACCTTGTAGAGGTTTCTCTTCTTTTCCCTACCTTTTCCTTTAAACCAAACATAGCATTAAGCTAATTCCATTAATCAATTTCGTATTATATCAGGTCTTTCAAGACAATTGAAGATAAAAAAAAAAAAATCATGAGGTAAATAGAATTTGACTATTCTCTGATAATTTATATGTCAAATTTGGCCAGCTTATGAGCTCCCCACTATCAAGATATCAGAAAAAAACTAGTTATCAGTCTTATGCAGTCAGATTTATTAAACCATATTAAATTCTTATCTCTTCATTCCCTTTCTCAATACCATTACAATGAGACAAAACACATTCATCACCGAGCGCAAAAAGTCTAGGTTACGTTCACAAAACTAAAAGCACGATTGTGATCTCTCACCTAATCCATCGTATTTTGGCCATCTCCTGGCAATAATTTATTCCATGATTATTAAATAGACCAATACAAGATTTTTGTAGCAATCATTCTAATATTGAATACAGTCACAGGGAAACTGTTTTTGGATCAGGGTGGAATTGAGATTATGATAGAATTAATTTGATTGCCATTTCTACAGTTCTGTTCGAGAAATTTATCTTATCACATCATATAAGATAGTCACTTCAACTAGAAAAATGCATACATGAAATTGATAATTGGGGTTTATAAGTAGTTAGAAATTAATAACTAAAAAGAAAAAAAAAAACTTCTCAACGATTTGTATTAACCAACCCCAAACATTTTTATAGGTAAAAATGACAATAATATCTACCAATCAAGGCTGCATTTGGCATTTCTTATTTGAAGGATTTATCTCCTTTTTATAGTTAAAATGTCCTTATATATAAATACTAAATTTTTAACGATAAAAAAGAGAAATCCTTAAAATAAAAAATGTCAAATGCATAACAAGATGGAAAGGGTTATTGTCTATCAACATTCGAAAAGGATTAAAATAATCACTTATGTTCCAACCACGATGCGGACACAAATAGAATTTTTAGAGATTTGGTACTTGTCGGCAGCACATGAAAACTATTATCTGAGCACACAGAATCAATTTGTTGAAATTCTCCAAAAAGAAAAAAAATCAAGAAATGGCCTCGTTTCTATTAAGCCAACTGATAATTAATTGAGTAGATCCAAACATGTCGAGCAAAGAGATCTACTATTAGTTAGGTGCGGGTTCAAACCCAGATATCATGTCGAGCAGAGAGATCCAAGAGCAAAGGACAGCACACAAGGGCCCCGGTATTTATTCATTGTACGTCCACATGGTGGGATGATCTACTTCTCACATAAAGACGTGTCAATTATTATTGAAGACGTGTATTAGTGTATACAGATTGCGTGGAACTAAGTCTTTTCAAAAGATGTAAAACATTTGAGTGTCTTAATCAATTCCCTGATCATTATAAAATAGAAAAATTAAGAAAAATGAAAAAGATGAATATCAGACATACTAGTTAGTATACACTAATATCTATATTTGAGTATCGGATGATCATGTTTTAATCTTAGGTTGTTGTATGATAAGTAAATACAATTTTAATATATACGTAACATAAAATAAATTCAAATTGCTCATCTTTGGATATTGATCATTCTTGATGATGCACAATTCGACCGATCTTAACTGTCAACGATCTTGCCTCTGAGTTGAGTGGCAGGGGACCTGAAACGGAGGGAGTGAAGAAACTCCGGGGAGAACCCGGCGTAAGGGCTCCGAAGCTCAAGTTAGAGTCTTTCAAAGGCAAGATAAGCCAGATAGCGCAAAAGTTAGCATACCTTGTTCTTGGGGGGTAGGAGCCTTTTATAACCACCTCGCGCACTCACTTCCAGGCTTCTGTCAGATCGGGCATGA